GGTAACGCTGTTACCTTTCCTCTCACATTGGCTTAGAGCCAAATTTGTAGCCCCCCCTTTCGGCACTGTTTAGGATTTGATGGAATACATTTTGTGATTAAACTCACCTTGGCTCTGTACAATTTCCTGTATTTATTCTGTCTTTTCCTCACCTATATTCAATGTCCTTTGTCGTGCTATACTGTATGTATCTTGAAGGTTGCCCTAAATCCTTTCTGGAACAAGAATGAATATAAATAATTTTAGCAGTGGACAAGGGGTAATAACGTGAGCCTGATATAATAATAGAGTAAATTTACAATCTCAGGTGATTTGGAGTCTCAAATTAGAGATGAAAATACAAGACCATATACCTCTATAATCAGTTCTATAGGAATAAATGGAAGTGGCCGCTACTTTCAGTTAATCCATCTCAATAATCAACAAGCGCGAGGCTGTGTATGCTTTCCTTCTTCCTTTTCTCTTGGGAAAAATACCAGTGCCCTCTAGTGACCAAAATGCACCTCGCATAGTACCCTTCATAAGAGTAATAATAATAACCCAATATTAGAGATAATTAAAAAAAATAAATTTGGGGGCATTGAATCCTGGACCAAGCATGCGATTATCCTACAAATCACGATCTAAAATACTCCTCCCCCGCCTTCCATGTTTTCAAGAGTAAGGAATACACAAAAAATAATCCCCTGCAGAGGACAGAATTTTTTTTTAATCCACTGTTCTCTAAGACTTCCGATCTTTATGTGAACTTCTCTGGAACCCAGATAATAATCTCATTATCCTTATCTTCTAATGCAAATGACGACTGCGTTTATTTATAGTACTCAGTAGTAACTGAAATTATAGATACCGAAGCTCTAAAGACTTAGTCATCGGCGGTGGCGGAAATTTACTGTACCATGCCTGCTTGTGCAACTGTTCAACCCTTTGCATTCCAGCTGCGCGAAACCCCCAAAGCGATGTCACGCTTACCCAGGGCACTTTTCCTTCTGTCGAAGCGCGTTCCAGTCTACCACACAGCCGGGGCGCGCAGGGAAGGGGATCGGTCCGGGCCGCGCCGGCCCCGGTTTGCCTTTATTGCTGACGTGGAAACTCACTCCGCCGGGCCCTAGGTTGTTACAAAGCCCGGGGGGCCCTTTCGCGGCGGAGGATTCAGAAGACCAGCCCAGGCGTGCCCTGCTCCCCAGCCTGCAGGTGGCAATCTCGTCCTTCCGCCGTAGAGGAGTGGCGTCCAACTCCAAAGGCGCGCAAGCCCTTCCCCCACCTCGAGCGCTTGGAATTCGCCGCGGAATTCGACCTAGCCTTCCGGGACCCGCCCCTGGCCCCTGGCCCCGCCCATCTCAGCGGGTCAGCGCGCGGCGATTGGCAGCGGGGCAGGGGCGGAACTCCGGGAGGTGGACTGAGGGGGCCGGGCCTGGGTCGGGACAAAAGCCTGGAAGCGCCGACGTTCCAGCTCTCGGTTTCTGCAGAGGCCGTGTAAGAGGCCGGAACAGCTGGAGAGCAGCTGGGATTGCCAGAGTGTGCGTTTGTGGGGTTAACCGTGTGAGGGCTGTGGCGTTCCCGGGTCATCGCCAGCGTACCTTCTCCTGCAGGTAACCGCAGGCTTCGAGGGGCGTCTCCGGCCCCTGGCTTTTGTGGGGAGGCTCTGTCAATAGCTGGAGTGGGAAAAAGGAAGGAAGCTCAGATCTTGGGTGTGGTAGGGGCAACTTAGCGGCGAGTCGTGGTCGCAAGGCAGGGGAAAAAAATCCAGGTATTGGGCGTGGGAAAAGGAAATGGGGAGGAAGAAGGTGCTGGATGCCTGGATGTGTAGAAGGCCCGCTCTTAGGCAAGGGAGGACGAAAACTGGGCGGCAGAAGGTTGCATGCCTTGACAGACGGAAGGCCAGGTCTGCAACAGAAAGGAAAATCGGGATGGGAGGATGCAGGGACGCGTGGAAGACGAAGTCTAGCGACGAAGACGAAGTCTTGGGAAAGAAAACGTGCGGCCTCGGGAGCTGGAGGACTTGGGAGTGTGCATCGACCTTGCGCTGCTGGGACTGGCGGTGCGGTGAGCTGGATGCGTCCGCCTGGGGAGCCTGAAGGGGGCCGGCGAGGGGCGTTCGCTAGGCCACCTGGTGGCGGTCGGGGGCAGAGTGAGGGTGGAGGAAACCACGCGGCCGCTGGCATCTCGAGCTCTGGGGGAGGCGTCCTTCGGCCTACTCCTGGCGCCCGGGTTTTAAAGGTCCCGGCACCTGGGAGGGAAGGGGCGAACGTGGAGACCTGGAAGGAGAAACCGAGCCAGCTTCGGTTGCAGCCCTCTTGCACAATGGCCACAAGGACGCATGCAGGCCGTGCAAACCCCAAGACTAGCTAACGGACGACGAACCCGGGACTCCCACGGACGCACCCTCCAGTGTGTGCAGAGATATTTACTTTATTTGAAAGGTGCCTGCGGACCTAAAACTGCCCTTTGCCCCGCCTGGATACACTCAGCACTGTACTTTAAACCAGATAAACCGGGTTGCCTGGCCCGTACTGAAATCAGCTAAATTCTCCTGACAGGAGTGCCTTGTACCTTACCTTTCTCTTCCCTTTTTTGATTTGTTTTAGGAGATAAACTGCACTCAGCTGAGTCTGCAAGATTGAGAGGAGTTGAGGTGATTAGAAATTGTAAAGGTGAGAATTAGCAATTTCTCCCATTCTTTGATATGGCAATATTGCGTTTAATTGGTCTTGGAGGTCTTGGAAGTGGTTGGAGCCACTGCAATGGAGTGAGTCAGGAATATTTCCAACAATAAATTGCACTTGCTTCCTTGTTTCTTTCAGTCTAGTCTTCTCTGCAAGAGACTTTGGTTTTTTGGGGGTGGTTGCCCAGAAATTAATGTAGTTTATGAACTCAGCCCCCCGAAAAATGTGGCTAAAAATTTGGGAATAATGAAAATAAAATTAAACAGGGTGAGCAGCTCTTTTTTCTTAAACTACTTTAGTCCAGGTTTATTTTCTAGCATTGCACATGTGTGTCAGGAGATTGGAATTCAGCTGCTTTCAGAATAAATGAACTGGCTTGTTGGAAAAGGCCTTCCTTCTGAAGTCAGGGTTTGGGTGGAGACAGAAAATCTGAGGGACTAGGGTAGAAAGTGAATTCAGTGGTGTCTAATGCTCACTGCATGGAATTCAAATCTAGGAGAAATAAAAGTGTCCTACATTGTAGTAAGCCAGGGTCTACAATAAAGCTTCACTTTTTTAGTGAAAAGATAGTAAAAATGTAATGGATAAGTAACGTGAAGAAAACATGAAATGTTTCAGTTATGCATTATGAAATATAGAAAGATTACTGCAGAAAGTGTTTGTTTCAATTGAGAAGAAAATAATTAACTAAAAAACATTGTCACTCATTATTGAAATTTCAAGTATGATGTATGACCTTTTATTAACTGTATTTGCCGTCAAAGAAAAATAGCCATCATAACCCTTCCATAATACTATGTAGGAGTATGGCCTCAGAAATGTATCAAAACTAAGATAAATTTGCTGCCTCTTTTTGTTTTGTTTTAAATACAAGGACAGATGTGACAGTGGGATCAGCATGACTAAATCATACACTTTAAGCTGTACTTTAAATTATACTTGAAATTACAAATGGGAAGTAGCTGACTCATTCACACCAGTTTGTTCACTTTTTTATTCTAGTTGAGTTCCAGATGGTTCCCCAGTAATGGTCTAGGGAACCTCCTAAATACTAATAAGCAGGATCCCAGAGTTAGAAATTGGGAAGTGAAAATGGGCCTAGAGGTTAGGAATATGTCCTGGCTTGTGGTGAGGAACTGAAGCTCACAGTCTACTAATCTTTACGTTTTAAAATTTAAAGACCAAATTACTTTAGCTTAACTTTTTAAGAAATACTGTTTACAGGCCTCTTACTTCATAATTTTTTTAGTCAGTTCTCCTGACTTCCAGTCCTCAGCCATAACTTAAAAGAATAAAAGCAATCTGCAGTTATGTTGCTAGGGAGAAAAAAAGTTTCCATTAGAGCACCATGAAAGGGAACCTTTAGCAGGCTCAGGGCCTCCTCTGCCTCTCAGGAAACACGCCTTTCTTTAAGCCTCATCCAAAGGGTGTACCCCTGCCCTCTCTGGGAATCAGATTGATTTGAATCTGGCATCCCCCCACATCCCAAGAAGACACCTCTTCCTGGAACAATTCCAATCCCCTGTCCCCCCCACTGGCAGCTTGTCTTTGCCCACTAACAGCCAGAACAGTCCAGGAGTTGGGATACTGAGGACAGGACAGGGGCGTGTCCTGGACAGTAGTCCTTCTCTATACGTACAGATTTCTCTGAGAAATCACTTTGTATTCAGTGTGACATCCCCGATATCCATTATTGTCTCTAGGAGAATATAGTTCCACCTGGAATTCTTCATCTTTCACTTTTAAAAGGACTTAAAGTTTCTTTAAAATGGGTCGCTGGAACTTGTTGAATCTCCTCAAGGATAGTTGTTTTAACCAAAACAGCCTCTTAAAAGAGGGGAAATAGTAGCACACATCATTCTGCTCCTCTTGAGGGCGCAGTAAAATGAGGAGTTGGATAGAGGTTTTCAAATAAACATGATATCGTGGAAATAATCTCATTTTATAGGACAAACCAACAGTCAAGAATAATGATTACATTATTAAGGGCATGTGACAGGCTTAGGCTCCCCGACCCTCCAGCCAGATGGCCTTGCAAAAGCTTTTTTTTCTTTTAGCAAAGTAGAATGGAAAAATAATTTCCATCTTACAGGGTTGTTGTGAATGTTGATTCAGAAACCACACAAGAAGCATGTAACATGATGCTTTATACAGCAAACGTATTCGATTCTAATGGTTAATGTAATTGTTATTATTAGCTTTTTATGCAGTCATGCTGTTATGAATTGTTCTTTTAGTAGTCACCAAATTGTATTTTGTTTTTACATGGTAATGAGGCAAATGATGAGATATGTGTCTTATCATTTTTCCTCTTGAAGGTTTATTGAAGTCAAAATGTCTCAAAAAATCCAAGGCGGTTCTGTAGTAGAGATGCAAGGAGATGAAATGACACGAATCATTTGGGAGTTGATTAAAGAGAAACTTATTTTTCCCTATGTGGAATTGGACCTGCACAGGTAAATGAATCACTCTGCCAAGCAGCAAAGTCAGAAAGCATATGTGATTTCAGGGTATAAGTCGCTTTTTTACATAGATACCATTGTACCTTGTGTATAAAGCTTTTGGTGAGCTTATATGCAAATGAATGTGTAACTGGTGTGCCGTGGTACAGAAAGCCAAACTCTGACAGTAGGTGTTTGCAGCAAAGTAAGGGGTTATTTGCAGGGCGCCAAGAAGGGAGTGGGAGACAAGTCTCAGATCCACTCCAAATTGGTCTTTGAGTTGGGGTTGTTGGGGGAAGAACTGAGAAGCTTGTGAAATTTCTGTGACATTTCTTAAATGTTAGTTTCAGTGGGTCAGGATGTGTCCTGTTTACCTTCCCTGGCCAGGTGGTTCATGGCTTGGGGGTCTGTTAGCTCATCTTGACCTGGAGAAACAACCTGAGTTTGTAGTAACTGATGATATCTACAACATCAATTTTAGTCATTAACAATGTTGTCTATAATAGCAATTTTAGTCATCTGATTCTGGTTGATTAGTGTTAAATTAGCACAGGATTGAGGTCAGAGGGGAACAGCAAGGGAATAAAGTTTCAGATAGATTAATCATAAACTCAGTAAGGGAATTTGATTTTAGGGGGACTGGGTTTCAAATATATATGCAAATGAATCTTCTATTTTAATTTTAACATAATACTAGAAACACTGAACTTGTAATTTTTCAGAAGAGAAGAATTATAATGGCAACAAAGTAATTCTCAGGTCTTTCCAAGCCTCTATTTCCTGTGAGGGTTTTATTTGTAATAAATCAGTGGCCAAGAGCAGCAGGAGGTATTATTTGCGGAGGGGAAAATAATAGAGCTACATCCTCTGTTAATCTGTAAAGAATGTAGTTAACACAATTTTGTCCTTTCAGAAGGTTAGTGTATTTTCTGTCACTCTATTTAACTAGTCAGTGGACCTTGTTACCTTTTCATTCCTTGTCTTTTACCCTTTTCATACAATTGTAGCACAGAAAGAATTCTTGACATTATCTAATATAACCCCGACCTTTCAGAAGTTCTGTAAACCATTTGTGTCCTGGAGATTGGAGCCTTTACCCTGTATTAAAAGTATTTGGGGGGCTTCCCTGGTGGCGCAGTGGTTGAGAGTCCGCCTGCCCATGCAGGGGACACGAGTTCGTGCCCCGGTCCGGGAATATCCCACATGCCGCAGAGCAGCTGGGCCCGTGAGCCATGGCCGATGAGCCTGTGCGTCCAGAGCCTGTGCTCCACAACGGGAGAGGCCACAACAGTGAGAGGCCCGCGTACCGCAAAAAAAAAAAGTATTTGGGGACAGATATGAAAATCTCTATGGAATTCTTTCATTTTCTTCCCCCCCTATGTTTTTCATACATTTGCTCGTGCTCTTTGTACATTTGGACTAGGTAGAGACAGAATTTTCACAGGGGTGGAGTGGCTGAAGACTGGCAGGGTAATATGTTGAACAACACATTTTAGCCAAACTACTGGCAACTGTAAGTGTGTTTGCCTTGACCCAGAATTATTCCTCAGACTGTCCTGAGGGCCTGTTATTTGCTTGGGTGTAGACATTTAATTCACATGTTGTCATTAAATGCCCTTTTTAATTACTCTAAGCCTAAGGTGTTGATGATATATCTATATTGCAGCCATGAGAGGGAGGGAGCAAATATCTGCAGAGGTCCACCAAACACACAGGAAATGACACTTTAAAAACATCATCCAGGGACTTCCCTGGTGGTGCAGTGGTTAGGAATCCGCCTGCCAACGCAGGGGACACAGGTTCGATCCCTGGTCTGCGAAGATCCCACATGCCGTGGAGCAAATAAACCCGTGCACCACAACTACTGAAGCCTGCGTGCCTAGAGCCCGTGCTCGCAACGAGAGAAGCCACTGCAATGAGAAGCCCCCGCACTGCAACTAAGCGGAACTAGAGAAAGCCCAGCCACGAAGACTCAGTGCAGCCCAAATTAATTAATTAATTAAAGTTTAAAAAAAAAAATCATCCAAATGGTTAAAGAAGCATTTTACAAACACTTTACATGATAATAGGTGAATTTGCAGAGCTCTTCCCAGTATAGTAAATGCAAAGATGCTTTTGAGCTGCTTTAGTATAGAGGCATAAGGAGGTTTAAAGGACAGTCATTATGTCTAGAAGGCAAAAAGTCACTGGCTAAAGACTAAAGAATTTTTGGAGACTTAAACAAGTGTAAGTTGTTCCAAAATTGCTATTATTATTACATGATGCGTTCTTTTTGAGGGGAGTGGAGTGATTCATTTGTTTTATTTTCTGTTGGCTAGGCAGTAATCAAGGCCATTTATTCATTCTTTTCGCTTAGAAATGTTAAGAAGAGAAGCAAAAAATCCACTAATTTGCTGGCAGGTTCTTCTGATGAAAAATGTTTCCTACGAACATAAATACTGCTGACCACATTGCTTGTTTGAGTTAGGAGTAGACATTTATAGATATTGAGCACTCCCTAAACCATAAGAAAGTCAGTGGCTTTGTAAGTGTCGATGAAAAAAAAATTAACCAATAATCGATCTAAGAAAGAAATGGAAAATTTTATTCATGCCAACTTGAGGATTATAACCCAGGAGACAGTCTTTCAGAAAGCTCTGAGGACTGTTCTGCCCGCTAGAGGTGGAAGAGCAGTTAAGGAAGTTTTTGAGTAAAGGGTTGTATTGACCCAAATGATGTATTGACAGTTTACACACAATCCACATCTGTGCGTACAAAGCAAGTAGTGGGTCATCATGACCCCTTACAAGACTAAGAAGGAAGGATATTTCCTACGGAGGTCTGGTTAATGCAAATGCATGATACACCCTCAAGGGGAGGGAGGAAGCCAAAACAGTCAAAGCAGTTTGGAATTATTATTTGGAAATACATTGTAAGATTGGATTCCCTTTTGCATTTCCATCACAAGTTGGGATATCTAAGGAAAGGAAAATACAGGAACTGAAGCAAGAAATCTAGAGGCTTAATGGTTCAGCAAGTTTTGAAGGCTGAAAAAATTTGAAAAACTTTTAAAGCCTTGGAGAACAAAATAAACTGTTGATTACTGTTTTGTTTTTCCTGCTTTTGGCAAACTATTACATACTTTAAATACAGCTTTACAGTCTTTTTCTATACTTCATGGACAACCAGCATTCTTTCCTGCTCTGAATAACTTGCAATCTGGGTGTTGGTGTGCATTAAGCTATAATTCACTGGGGTATATAAAACCACTGCTGGATTCCATTACTTATTCTATAAACTGCAGGCTTGTTTCCAGAAGAAAGAGATTTGCCCAAGATTTAGGGAAAGGTTCTTCATATGACTAATTGTCATTAATGAAGGGGTCATTAGCTTTTTTTGGCAGTGTCCGTCTCATCTGTAACTCCAACACTTCAACGCCAAAATACTAGAAACCCTTTAAACCTTCTGACCCCTTTATTTTTAGAGCACAATATTTACTAAGGGAAAATTAATGTTTGGGCTTGCATTCTTATGTTAATCGTGCTGAAGGCAGTCTGCAGAAAGGTTGCTGGTGTGCTATTATTGCCTCTATGGTGAAGAGCAGGCAGCAGGGCAGAGCGCAGTGGTTTCCATTTAGTTTCCTGTTAGACAGCTTCCCACACACAGGGAGGCATGCGTGGCCTAGCAGTCCAGCCTTTCTTGGTGCTTTTTTTTAGTTGGCAGCCATCTTCTGTGTCTAGGATACACTAATGCTAAAACTTAGCGGATTTGGGTACATACATATGGAGTCTTCACTTTCTGCAGGGCAGGCCCTGCATGCCATCACCATGCACAGAGTGGTGCATGGGGATAGAATAGGAGTACCCTCAATCTCCTGTCGGTTTACCTGGAAAGTTACGCTTACAATTTTTCCCTCCCAGCTATGATTTAGGCATAGAGAATCGCGATGCCACCAATGACCAGGTCACCAAGGACGCTGCAGAAGCTATAAAGAAATACAACGTTGGTGTCAAGTGTGCCACCATCACCCCCGATGAGAAGAGGGTAGAGGAGTTCAAGTTGAAACAAATGTGGAAATCACCAAATGGCACCATCCGAAATATTCTGGGTGGCACTGTGTTCAGAGAAGCTATTATCTGCAAAAATATCCCCCGGATTGTGAGTGGATGGGTAAAACCCATCATCATAGGTCGTCATGCTTATGGCGATCAAGTAAGTGGTGTTGGCATAACTTGATTTTCCATATTCTTTTTTTTTTACATCTTTATTGGAGTATAATTGCTTTACAATGGCGTGTTAGCTTCTGCTTTATAACAAAGTGAATCAGTTATACATATGTTCCCATATCTCTTCCCTCTTGCATCTCCCTCCCACCCTCCCTATCCCACCCCTCCAGGCGGTCACAAAGCATTAATCATTAGAGAAGTGCAAATCAAAACTACAATGAGATTTCATCTCACACCAGTCAGAATGGCCATCATCAAAAAATCCATATTATTTTTTCACGGGCTTTGACTGCCCAGCAGTTCTGATTTATATGTGCTTTATTCTTATCTTTATTTTATCTACTCCCATTAAGTGAGGTACAGAATTGAGAAATGAATGTATGTATACATTTAGATAAAAGTAAATACAGATAAACTTACAGATAGGTACCTGTCTCAACACAAATGATTTTTTTCAGGCATGTTTTTTTCTTCCTTGTCTTTTTATTAGATTAAACCATATGATGTAGACATTTTTATTTAGATAATTTCCTGTGGTTCGGCCAAATCAGTGGTTCAGCCAAACCCTGTGGCTGTACAGTAAGGTCCCTTTACAGGTTTTTTGGTGTTTGTTTTATTTTGCTTCGCGTTTTAAAAAAATTTTGTTTGTTTTAATTCCAGTGCCTGAGTCCCACCCTACACCAGCTAAATCTGAATTCCATGGCATTTTAAAGCTCCCCAGGTGATTCTAATGTGCAGACAGAGTTGAGAACTACCGAAGATTATATTAAACATGATCGTTTCATGCATAAAAGGAAAAACTGACTCAGTAGTTGAAAACAGTCTCTTTAAAGCATTCCCTTCCTGCTTGGGGAAAAAAAAAGTACAATTTCTGTACTTCTATACAAGTAGGCTTGTTGCCAAATTAAACAAAAATTGCCAGCTAAACAAAAGTTCTGTGTTGAAACTGAAGTTTTAGACTTTCATAGAAAGCAGCTTATGTCTTAAAAGAGCCTTAAAAACAAGTCTCCCTGATGCTGACACCCAGAGGCTTTGATGTAGCCATCCTTAAAAATAGTATGGGTAGAGCAGACCACTCTCCGTTCCTGGGGGCAGGGTCACCAGGTCGTCCTTGAGGGGTAGTTCACTTTGTTCTACCGTGTGGCTCAGACTATCCCTTCATCCTGGCCAGTCCCTTCACAGATACCTCTCAGAGGCCCAGGAGAGGGGATGTAGATGGGAGTGCTACAAGCTCACTAATCCTGGGAACACCACTCTTAAGTTCTTACAAGTTCAATGATGTCCTTTTCCTTTCTTTTTTTTTTTAGATTATTATTTTGGCATCAGTCACCTGGAAGAATGGTCATTCTATTTATTAAAGTCTAGATTGAAAATTCCAAACCTCTAGAAAGCATTTATTGTACTTTGGTGCCTCGGTTTCTGGCTTTTGAGAAATAGGAATCAATTACCACCCATAGTGAAGGACTTTATATGTCAGAAATATTCTGCCTAGAGTAGATATTTAATCTGTATCGTTATCTGACAGCTTTTCTACCAGCTGTTATTAGTATTATTCTACACAAACGTAGACAAATAGGTTTGGCTGGCATCGGCTGGTACCTGACTCTGAAAGTATTCTAATCTAAGCCATTGAAGAAGATACAAGGCAGCAAAGATTGACATAAGCCTAGTGTGGGTTGGGCACATTTTCCATACCCATGACAAAGGTAGCTGTCCTCCACAGGCCCTTTCCTAAGGGTTGTCAGCCTGCTGCAGCTGTTTTCAGAACGATTACTTCATGTGGACAGGTCCTGGGCTGGGCATTAGTAGCAGTGATTACCATGAAGAGACTGAGTCCTGAAGGTCCAAGGACCAGATCCCGAGTCTTTTGACCCTAGATGCATTATTTCCACTACATCACAGTTCCTCCCTTGTAAGATTGATGGAAGAATCAAATGAGGTAATAAGGGATACAAGTTAATCATTTTTTTTTTTTTTTTGCGGTACGCGGGCCTCTCACCGTTGTGGCCTCTCCCGTTGCGGAGCACAGGCTCGGGACGCGCAGGCCCAGCGGCCATGGCTCACAGGCCTAGCCGCTCCGCGGCATGTGGGATCTTCCCAGACCGGGGCGCGAACCCGTGTCCCCTGCGTCGGCAGGCGGACTCTCAACCACTGCGCCACCAGGGAAGCCCTCCAATAGTATTTTTTATCTGTGCCCCCTTTTGACATTTGAAAGCTCTAATGTTACTTCTTTTTTTGTCTTTGTTAGGTCTTAAGCTTCATAAGGGGAAATATTTTGTTATTCTCTCTCATACCCATATCTGTACTCAGAAAACTGCCCCATGCATGGTAGACCCCTGATAAATATTGATTTCTAATGTGTACTACCACCAACTAGCTAGGACAGTTTTGGGTTTTTGTGGGGGTTTTTCTTGTTTTTGTTTTTTTAGTATACCTTTTTTCCCCCATACAGTACAGAGCAACTGATTTTGTTGTCCCGGGGCCTGGAAAAGTAGAGATATCCTACACGCCAAGCGATGGATCCCCCAAAACGACATTCCTGGTACATAACTTCACAGGTATGTGTAAGTCCACCATGAGCTACATCTTTCATTTTTTTCGCAGATCATTTAGACAGCGTTATTACTGGTTTTTTAAAGTTCTGTGAAAATTGTGTGGCTGCCTAAAAATACAACCTGAATCTACAACATTTCCATAGGACTCAAAATCAATGCCATGGATTCCTGTGGCATTGCTAAAGGCATAAAAAGAACTAGCCACTTAATTGGAAATGCATAGAGATAATTGGAAATGCAAGTAGATAATTATGCATCTCTCTTAAAACATGGAGGGAAGGTTGACAGGAGTCTGTTGTGCACAAATTAAACATTAATAGCCCCAAATGGCCTGTCATGTAATCCTGCCCTTTGGCTCTGGTAGGGTTTGTATTTGAAAATAGCTGCATTATTTATTTGCTGAAGTTTTCTTCTTGTCCTTCTGAGTATTTGTTCTGTGAAAGTGGAATGTTTGTTTTTTTTGGCCTCTTCTTGACCCCCTTCCTGCTGCTTCTAAGGTCCATTATGGCAAATCCCTCCCAAAAGCCGTTGTAAGAACAGAGGACCCTCTTTCTCCACTGTTAAGGTTGTTAAAAGCACTCACACAAACAAAAACCTCAAAACTTACCTAGCTATTGTTTTCCTTGACTCCTCTAAATCATATCATTTTAATGGAATCTAGTTCTGCCAGTTTCAGCAGCTCAAACATCCTCGGCCCAAGCTGGCCCCCGGCAGTGGCACAGATTGAAGTTCTAGCTTTCAGTAATAACAAAGTTCAAACAATAAGAGCTGTGAAACACCAGTGATTACATGGAGTGTAATTATTTCTACCAATGACAGAATGAACTTTCAGTATCCGCCAGGAAATTACAAGAATTTTCATCCAGTAATTGAAATGCAAAGTTTTCTCAGTAGCTAAGGATTGAGTTCACACTTCGAGTTTAAAACACATGCTTGAAATTTTTAAAGTATGAAAAGAGACTTTAAAAATTATTCACCTCTTGAGTGTATTTCTGGTTCGTTTCAGTAGCTTTTGGTATTTCAAGAACTTTAGGATCCTAAAGACCATGTTTTTCTCATTTATGTTGCCCTTTCAGAACAAGTTAGAATGTCCTTACCTAGAACTGACTTTCCTCTGATTGTGTGTCTCAGGAACTCATGGAATATTGAAGTCTGAAGCCTGGACTCAGACATGAGAGCTGGGAATTGGGTGTTTTGGGGGTGGTGGGTGTATATAGACTTGTTACAACTATACCCTGTTTACCTTTCTTTTTTCCCTCATTGTTGTCCCCTCACAGAGGGTAGTGGTGTTGCCATGGGGATGTACAATCAAGATAAGGCAATCGAAGATTTTGCACACAGTTCTTTCCTGATGGCTCTATCTAAGAATTGGCCTTTGTATCTGAGCACCAAAAACACTATTCTAAAGAAATATGATGGACGTTTTAAAGACATCTTTCAGGAGATATATGACAAGTAACTACAGTTCTTTTTCTTTTCTGTCACATAAGCTGGCATTTATAATATAGAATTCGTATGCTTATCCCTTTGATTGTGGGACAAATTGAGTGAAAACCATAACTATCCCATTCAGATAAGGACAAAACTGAGATTTAACAGGAGTGAAACGAAACTCTTGAATTGCTTTTAGAAGGGAAATGTGTTCTCAGATAAAGGCCCCACGTTTATTTTCTTCAGGGCCAGAGTTATTTAATGTGTGAGTAAAGGTACCCTGTTAGTGATAGAAAGTTCTGATTTTTCATGGGTGTGAGTTTGAGTTTGGGCCCATTTCCATTCTTTCTGAAGCCCACTGTTATGATTTAAAACTGCTCTTGGGGGCTTCCCTGGTGGCGCAGTGGATGAGAGTCCGCCTGCCGATGCAGGGGACACGGGTTCGTGCCCCAGTCCGGGAAGATCCCACATGCCGCGGAGCAGCTGGGCCCGTGAGCCACGGCCCCTGAACCTGCGCGTCCGGAGCCTGTGCTCCGCAACGGGAGAGGCCACAACAGTGAGAGGCCCACGTACCACAAAAAAATAATAATAATAATAAATAAATAAAACTCTGCTTTTGGGAATTCCCTGGTGGTCCAGTGGTTAGGACTCCACGCTTTTACTGCTGAGGGCATGGGTTCAATCCCTGGTCCAGGGAATTAAGATCCCATAAGCCGTGGGCCAAAAAGTTTAAATTAATTAATTGATTGATTTTATTAAAAATAAATTAATAAAACTCTGCTTTAGTGGAGTCATTTGAACTTAAGTCCACATTTACAACAACTTTGAGTTCAACAATACCTGAGCGCTTGTTGACTTTTAAGATAGTATCCCTCCCTTTTAGATACAAGCATTCAGGCCACGGCTAGGATTTTAGGTATCTTTCCTGAGACATTTTAATTCCTCCTTCTACTACCTATCTATATCAAACCTAGAAGCTATCCTAGTTTCCTGAATGATATTGAGCAGTAAAGTAGTCTTTTTCTTCCTGGTTACACTCTTAAAGTAAGCTGAATCTCACGAATCTCATTAGTGGTGTATTGAAAACTGTGAAAGTAGTACTTGGAACACTCCACCGTCTTGCTTAATTCTCACATCTCTGCAGAGTGGATGAAATCACCCTTACAGAAGGGGAAATTGGGGTTTCACAGCTAGAAAATGAGTGGGCAGAGATTTGAGCCCATGTCTGTCTGGTTCCCAAATTTGTGTTGCTTCAGCTAAAATGTGCTGCTTCCAACCCCACCCCGACTCCTTTGGAGAGGCACATGGTATCCCAACAAAACCAGTTTTCTTTGTCGTTCTCTTTTCTTTCTTGTTTCTTAGGCAGTACAAATCTCAGTTTGAAGCTCAGAATATCTGGTATGAGCACAGGCTCATCGATGACATGGTGGCCCAAGCTATGAAATCAGAAGGAGGCTTCATCTGGGCCTGTAAAAACTATGATGGGGATGTGCAGTCGGACTCTGTGGCCCAAGGTAAGGAGCTGGAGTACCAAGTGGAGGTGGGCTTGGCCTGCAGCAGACAGGTCGTGCCCTGCTAGCTCTCTGGTACAGGAAGGGGGATTCTGTGGCCCTTTGCTGCTAAAAGTCATGAAATGTTAACACCGCAAGGCATCCTGGTCCATCTTCTCAGCTGACAGATGAGGAGATTAAGCTCAGACTGGGTAGGCGACTTCTGGCAGGGACGCACAGGAATTAACTCGTGGGTTGAGACTCGGGGCTCCAGCCTCAGAGGCTCACATAGCTTATGTCTCAGCCCTTTCCCCGCCTGAAGCTTCCCTGCCTCCAGTGGTAGCCCAGCGGCCCAATCTGAAAACCACCCCCCACGCTTATCTGCCTTCTGATGAGAACCTGAAAAGCTAGGGGACTCGGGCAAGGAGGACCCAGGGTTGTCTCCTAAGCGAGGGGCCTCCCTCCGACAGCCCATTCTTCTGGAGACAGTTACAGATCATGCCCCTTTTGCCAGCCTTGATGGCTCTTCTGTCACCCTGTAAGACACACGTGTTTACTGCTTATCTTGAAACACACAGAATTGAGCAAAGAAGCCCCGGGCTCTCCACAGAAATTCCAGGAACCAGGAGCTTCATGCCAGAGATAAGGACCAAATGAGCAAAAAAGCTCCCTTCCCTGATTTCCTCGGCACCAAGTTGCCCTCCAACTTCAGTTACTCAGGGTAGCTGTGTAAACTGAATTTCCCCCGATGAATGTTTGTGGTAGCTTTAATTATGTTTGCTTTTCCCCAGGAAGTACTACTTTTTCTTTCTCTTATGAAAAGTTAATCATCTCCTATCAGTTTGAAAATCAGTAAATCTGCCTGGTTAAAGATAACTTTTATGTCCGATAAATGAGTTCTCCTTTACCCTCCTTCTGTTTCTCCTACGTCCTGACAATCGTTTATATTGAATGCAGCAGAGGAAGGAGTGTTGCTTTGTGGTGATTCTGTGGTGCCTACAAAAGCTTCCTGGTAATCAGAGTTCTTAGAAAGGGACCCAAATCATTCCATCATTTCTAAATGTCGTCATGGCAATAAGAAGAGGGTAAAAAAAAAAAAAAAAGAGGGTATCTGGAGGGATATCTCCAATGTAATTGTCAAGTTATGGAGGTTCAAAGGATTTCAAAATAGGTATGTGGAATTGCAGTGTCCAGCAGTGCACCGGTAAGATACCTGGAACCAAGGCTCTGTGTCTGAGCAGCACCTGTAGATAAAGGTGACCTCAATGTAGCTAAACAGATTAAAAGGCAGCCGAGCTGTTCTTTTTTTTTTCTTTTTTTGCAGTACGCGGGCCTCTCACTGTTGTGGCCTTTCCCGCTGCGGAGCACAGGCTCAGCAGCCATGGCTCATGGGCCCAGCCGCTCTGCGGCATGTGGGATCCTCCCAGACCGGGTCACGAACTCGTGTCCCCTGCATCGACAGGCGGACTCTCAACCACTGCACCACCAGGAAAGCCCCCAGCCGAGCTGTTCTTACGTTCATTCTTCTCTAGAGGCATGAACTACTTTGGACTCACACCAAACATTTTATTTCTCTCCTCAGTTTTGACAGTCATACCAACTAGTGTCTCCTAATATAAATAGATAGACACATTCACCGTGGATATGGCCCTGAACGTCTCCAGTCAATGAATATTTGAGACTCTACTAAAGCCTCATACCAACACAGTGATAGGAAAGGAGCTGCTAATTCAGCACAGAAATTGCCATTGTACACAAAGATGAGTTTAAAAAGGGTTTATTTACTTACTCTCAAACAAAGTAGCAGCCTATTATAAATTTGCAGTATTAACTCCACAGGTGTTATTGGGAGGTAGCAGAAATGGAGAAAAGTGTTCTTGGAACTCGAGTGTAAAAAAAAGAGAAAAGAAGAAAAATCAATTGTATGGACTTAAAAGTTGTAATGTGGTTCTCTGAATAGGAAACCACAGAATAGAGTCGTTCTGGGGAGGCTGTGAAAGAGAGCAGGGGCGAGTGGGAGGTGCTTGGACCCATCCCGTTCTGTGGGGTTTTTTTGTTTGTTTTTTAATTAATTTATTTATTTTTGGCTGCGTTGGGTCTTTGTTGCTGCGTGCAGGCTTTCTCTAGCTGTGGCAAGCGGGGGCTACTCTTCGTTGCAGTGTGCAGGCTTCTCATTGCAGTGACTTCTCTTGTTGCGGAGCACGGGCTGTAGGTGCGCAGGCTTCAGGAGTTGTGGCTCACGGGCTCTGGAGCGCAGGCTCAGTAGTTGTGGCACACGGGCTTAGTTGCTCCACAGCATGTGGGATCTTCCCGGACCAGGGCTTGAACCCGTGTCCCCTGCATTGGCAGGCGGATTCTTAACCACTGTGCCACCAGGGAAGCCCCATCCCATTCTGTTTTTAATCAGCTTTCTCTTCCCAGTCCCACATGAGCCCTTGAGCAGCTTGATGGCAGGAGACAACTCATTAATCTTTATTTTCCTGGAACAGCAGAGTATCTGCACATAAGCATGACAGTAATATATTGAGCTCTTACTCTGTGGCAGGTACTAGTCTAAGGAATAGGAATATGTATTCTTTTCATATATATTCACGAACATATGCATATTCATCTAGTTCTCACAACAACCCTATGAAATAGGTGTTTCTACTATTCCCCTTTTACAGGTAAGAAAACTGAGCCACAGTAGTTAGGGAGTCACGGAACTAGGATGGAATGCAGGCAGTCAGACCATGAGTTCTTCATCATGGAGCAGGTGCCTCTGAGGTAGATAAGTGAAGAAAAAGCACAGCCTTTTCTGAAAGGCAGAAGAATTACTGGGGGCTCCACGTGCTCATATTTATTTTGCTCACTGAGACCCGTCAAGACAAAGTCATTTTCTCTCACCTCTGGGAGACCCAGTGCTCTTCATGCCATTGAATCCCATACTCATGTTCTGCCACTCATAGGTTATGGCTCTCTTGGCATGATGACCAGTGTGCTGGTTTGTCCAGATGGCAAGACAGTAGAAGCAGAGGCTGCCCACGGGACTGTAACACGTCACTACCGAATGTACCAGAAAGGACAGGAGACATCCACCAATCCCATTGCTTCCATTTTTTTTTTTTTTTTAACATCTTTATTGGGGTATAATTGCTTTACAATGGTGTGTTAGTTGTAAGATACTGTTTGCTGCTACATTGATTTCCAACCAGAGTAGAAATCTCCAAAGGGGCTCAGATGTGTTCCTTTGGCTGCCCAATGCCTTGTGTATAAAATCACCACCAAATAGCTGATTTGCTCTACTCATAAGAACTGTTTTAATATGTTTCTTAAAATATACACAATATATGCTTTTCCAGTTTGTGGGAGAATATTCATTACAGAGAAGAATGTTATCAACAAGCATTTTCCTTTTCCTCTGCTGCAGTGAAATGTCACATGTAGCTAAGAATCTAAAGCCACATTGTTAGATCCTTTTAACTAGGTTTTAGGGATAGCACTTTAAAACAGATTATAGCCTGGAAAGAGAAGAGACCAATATAGACAAGAGGTAGAAGAGATTGTGACCTTTTCCAAATTCGTAAATGCCTTAAGCATCATGTATTCCTACCCTGAATATGTGCTTTCTTAAAGGTCTAACAAAATCCAAAACATTTTCTCTACAAAAGTGCAGGTTTTTTGAAAAGTTTCAATTTGGTAAAATGTTTCCAAGTTTCCTAAAACTTAACAGCTCATGCAGATAGCATCCAATGAAGTCAGTTACCTAAACAAACAAACAAAAAAAATGTTCTATTTTGGGGAACTGAGGCACTTGGGAATATTTCTAACCAGTGTGATTGAAGTGTGCTTTTTTTTTCTCCCTCTCTTTTAGCTTCCATTTTTGCCTGGACCAGAGGCTTAGCCCACAGAGCTAAACTTGATAACAATAAAGACCTCAGCTTCTTTGCAAAGGTTTTGGAAGAAGTCTGTATTGAGACCATTGAGGCTGGCTTCATGACCAAGGACTTGGCTGCTTGTATTAAAGGTTTAGCCAAGTAAGTATAAGATGCCCTAAGCTCTGTGGTCAAATTACCATTTATCCTCACTGGACTCAAAATATCAAGTGCTTTTTGGAGTTGCATGAATTAGTATTTGTCATCTGGTTCAGGAGTCAGCAGACATCTGTAAATTGTCAGATAATAAACATTTCAGCCTTTGTGGAACATACGGCAATTATTAAACTTTGCCTCCATGGCAGGAAAGCGGTCAGTGGTGACACAAAAGCTAATGGGTGTGGCAGTGTTCCAGTCAAACCCTGTGTACAGAACTGGGCTGCAGCCCAGACTGGGTTCATGGGCCAAGCTGTAGTTTGCTCACCCCTGATCTAGTTACAGTCAAGTGGGTGGCAAGGTTCTGCTTAATTTAACAAGAAAATTATAGGCATTTAGAAACAAAGGGACCCCCAAGACTATTTTATTCTACCTCTTTATTTTCCTCAATTTACAGTAAGAAAAGTAAGCAGTGCAGGTATAAGATGTCTGGTTTATCATAGTCCCTTCCTTAAGTATCTGTAACCAGCAGTCAGATATTTGAGGGCCCATGTATCGCCCAGGACTTTTTTGAGAACGTGGTAGCCTGTATCCCAGCTGGATCAGCTGCGGCTCAGGGATTCCTCCCTCAATCAAAGTTGGCTACTATGACTCACATCAAGAAACAATACTAAAATTTAACACCAATCCCGTGTCCCATCCATTTGTCCTCAGAGATCTCTGTTAGGGTCAGTATACCTCAGTAATGGGGATACACTCCATCACTACATCTTTCTTATCTTAAATTTCCAGCAAGAATACAGTGTTTGAAATGTTCCTATGGGTATGTTACTTCCAAGCCGATTTGAATAGGCACCTATTAGCAGGATTAGATAGCCAGTCCATTGTCTTTTGCTTTTTAACTAAGACAAAGGTAGAAATAAGAGCACTAAAGCTTTTTTCTTTTTAATGTGAAAAGAAGTGATGAAATTGTCTTTATTTTCAGGTTATAAATTATATATCTATAAAATTCAAACAATTCAACAAAAAAAGGCTAAGGTAGCTGGATACTAGATAAATAAGCAACAACAAAGTAGCTTTTCCTTACACCACCAATAGACAAAAATGGAAATGGAAGAACCATCACATTCACAGTGGGAGCAAAACTATTTTTTTTGAAATATTTGAAAAACGTATTTGAAATATTCTATTTATGATAGTATCAAAAAGAATAAAATACTTAGGAATAAATTTTTTACAAAAGGTTTTTTTTGAGGACATGTGACATTTTGTGGGGATATGAGTAAAAGCATGACTGTACCTGGATATGTTCTATTATTTTTAAGAATGAGGAATAAGAAGTGGGATGATTTCAGTGTCCCAGGCATTAGTCTGAATGAAGCTCTGGGGCAGTTTCACCCTCAAAGCTACATGGCCAGGAACCTCCTGTGAGTGTGTGTGTGGCCCAGACTCTGCTCAGACTGCCTGTAACCTGGGTTAGCCCCTTGAACCTTGAACGCAGTCATCGGCCATAAACTTATAGCTTGTTCACATTAATCAGTTTTCTTCTAGAAATAAATAGAATGTTACTTTAAGTAGCATGTCTAGGACTTTTCCTCTACCTGCCACCAGATCAAAGACAAACTAAATTTCCTTCTTTTCTTTTTCCTCTGCTATTAGTGTGCAGCGTTCTGACTACTTGAATACATTTGAGTTCATGGATAAACTCGGAGAAAACTTGAAGACAAAACTAGCTCAGGCCAAACTTTAAGGTCATCCCTCGCCTTTGGAGGATGTGTGTTTTTGGTAACTCGGTCCACTGGTTTACATTTTTCTCTATAACCCTCAAGAGTAAAGGCAAAATCAATTCTGTAATTTGTTTAGAAGCCAGAGTTTATCTTTTCTATAAGTTTACAGCCTTTTTCTTACCCATACAGTTATGCCACCTTTGTGAATGTGGCAGGAGACTTTTTTTTAATTTTATTTTACTTTCTACTAGTAGCCTAGGAATTACTTTTAGTGTCCATTTGTACTCACTGTCACTTTTCTTCATGTTCTGATACAAATGACCAAAATGAAGAGTGCTTGAAAGGGTAAACTATAGCCACGGCACTATTCCCTAAAATTGTATAAAGTAGAAATTCATTCCCTTTCCCACTTCTCATGGCCTGTGGCACTGGGTGGTTTTGATTTAACAGATGTCCCATTATGTGAGGTAGAAGCTGTACGTTAAACTTGTGCATGATTTGGAATGAAAAGCATGGCTGTAACTAAAAGGTGTTGAAGACACAGTCATCCTTATAAAGAGCTCTAGCTGAATGTTTCAAAAATACGACATATTTTTGAGCTCACTGAAGAATCCAGAATAAATACTAACTAGGGGTTTGTCCTCTGTATTTGTCTCCTCCTCCTTGCCTTGTGTGGCCTAAGTATTATGCTACCCTGAACAGCATATTTCATCCACGTGCAATACTACAAGCTGCACCTTTCTTGGACTTCTGCTGACCTGTTTTATTTCCTTTATATAAATGTGATTTTTCAGAAGTTGATTGTAAACACTATTCTAGTCCTGTTCTTAATCTAAACTATCAATTTTAATTAAAATTAAGTGCTGATGACTAGTCTTCTGAGTTTTTATTTATCAAGTATACTTCAGTTGCCAGGCTAGGTCCTAGCCATAGGAATTTGATTTTAAAAAGTCTCTGTCGGGCTTCCCTGGTGGCGCAGTGGTTGAGAGTCCGCCTGCCGATGCAGGGGACACGGGTTTGCGCCCCGGTCGGAGCGGCTGGGCCTGTGAGCCATGGCCGCTGAGCCTGCACGTCCGGAGCCTCTGCTCCACAACAAGAGAGGCCACAACAGTGAGAGGCCCGCGTACCGCAAAAAATAAATAAATAAATAAAATAAAGCCTTCATTAAAAAAATTTTTAAAAAATAAAGAGGATGATGATGATGATGAATTGCAAGTAATCCCTAACGGGTGCAATTTAAGGTGTATTACTTACTTTATGCCCCTTGTATTATTTACTTGAATTACTTGTATTATTTACGCCCCTTGTGTTATTTACTTTATGCCCCATCGGCAATTTTCATTTATAGAAACTTTCTCTGAGGTTCACTATCCAACCTGTTGTTTTCAACTTACTTCCTTTATTACACTTCAGAACCCATAGGCTTTATCAAATACTTAAGCTAGGGTTGGTGTCACTGTCATTCTCTTAAGAACTCCCAGTGGTGAGGTCAGGAGAGTGTCAGGGCCAGCTGTGGTACTTTGTAAAACAGGTCATTTGTTAAACAGGAGTTCTTGATTCTCTAGCTATTGAGATATTTGTCCTAGTTTTCAGGCAACTCTATGATATCTTCCCCAACATCTCCTGGATAAAATGCATATTTGCATTCAAAGCCACCTTGGATGTGAAAACCTTAATGACAAAGGCCATTAATCACAGATACATCAGGAGAGATGCTATCACAACATTGTTATAACTGCAGCAGGGAAATATAGCTCAGGTTATTTATATATATATATATATATATATTTTTTTTTTTTTTTTTTTTTTTTTTTTTTTTTTTTTTGCGCGTTACGCGGGCCTCTCACTGTTGTGGCCTCTCCCGTTGCGGAGCACAGGCTCCGGACGCGCAGGCTCAGCGGCCATGGCTCACGGGCCCAGCCGCTCGGCAGCATGTGGGATCTTCCCGGCCCGGGGCACGAATCTGTGTCCCCTGCATCGGCAGGCGGACTCTCAACCAGTGCGCCACAAGGGAAGCCCTCAGGTTATATTTTAATGGTGTTTTGTGATAACTCAGATAAAGTTCAAATTGATGATGCAGAAACTGTTCCGTCATCTGTGTGGGTGTGGGTGTGGGTGTGTCCCCAGCACCCCTACCCTCCTCCCCCTGTCCCACACATCGAGTTTTTTTCCTCTCATTTTTTTCTTTCTGTGTAGGGATTAAGTATTACAGACAAGGTTGACTGGGCTGAGTTAGTCATAGTGAATCCAGATTTCAGGGCAACCTCCAAAAACACCCATACAGATCACAGGCAAGGACTAAAACCTAAGGGTTAATGATTCGGCATTTTCCAAAGTCTGAAGTTCTAAGTATTTATCCAGATGCTGCCCAAGGGCTTCTATTGCTGCAGTGCATCCCTGCTCTGCCAGGCAGCTGTAGTCAGCACTTTTGGGTGAAATGGCCCCTCCTTGGTTTCCGACCAGGCACTAACTCTGGAGGGAAATTCAGACTCCTTGGGGGTGACCTCAGGACACCATGCTCCTCCGAATCAATTCTGCCTCCCCTTCTGTCAATTCTTCCTTCCAAAGGTTGTCTGCTGTCCTGACCTGTAGGTGCAATAACTGTGTGGTCAGGAGGTAGGAGTAGGGTGGGAATTATAGGATAATTTTTTGTTTAATGGTGCACAGTGAAAAGGGCTTTGAGTTAGCACACTGTGCTCAAATTGGGGAAAGGGAGAAGGCCTTTTTTAATGCTGTGTATTACAAAGTGGGCTTCCAACTAGCTGAAGTGTTGTTCAAGCAACAGACATTTTCCATAAAAGAATGTTCTTCGTCCCAGGGAACAGATTAGCACCCACAAATACTTTTAACCCATATAGAAGAAATAAGTTACTCCCTCTGGGGTTGAGGTAGAGGGGGGTAACTTAATAGGACCATCATTTATTTTTAGAATGTACACTTACCCCACAGGCAAACCACAGGGTAGAGGTCATACAAGGATGTGCTCAAGATAGAAGCCACTCCATTGCCAAGTTCTTGTGGCTTGCTCTCAATCTCTGGGGATAAGAGGGTACAAGTCATTTAGTGTCATTTTGGAATTGACCCAGAGCTAAATGGGCTATTTAATATCTTGCTTGTCCTTTTGTTATAGTTTGGATACACAGTAATAATAACTGGAGCTAACATTTATGAACCTCATTAAGCACTGCCCTAGATTCTTTACTCGATTACTTGTTTCATGCTTGCAATAAACTGTCGTGCGGGCACTATTACTTTTTCATAAGTAAATTAAAAACCTGGGGCACAGAGGTGCCCAGGTCCCATTGATGGTATTCTGGTCATCTTTTGTCGCCTAATGAATTATCTCAAACCCTAGTGGCTTAAAGCAATAATATTACTTTACTCTTACCTCACTAGAGGTTGACTAGTCTCAGCTGAGCAGTTCTTATTTAGAGATTCTCACCTGGGGTCTCACACGCGGTTGCAGTCAGATGGCAGCTGTGACTGTTTCCCCACTCGTGTCTATTGACTGGGACCCCAGATGGGGCTGTCATGCAGAACCCCACAATAACCTCTCCATGTGGCCTGGACATACCTATAGCATCGCAGCTGGGCTCCAAAAACAAGCATCCCGAAAGGACCGATGAAACCTGTACGACCTAAAAAAACAAACAAAAAAAAACTTTTTCTATTGAGTTAATTATAGACTAACAGGAAGTTGCAAATACAGTAACAGAGTCCCATGAACCCATCACTCAGCTTCCCCCAGCAGTGATCTTCTGTAACTGCAGGCCAATATCATAACCAGGAAATTAACAATACAATTAACTAGACTGTGAACTTACTCCATTTTACCAGTTATTACATGCCCTCATTTGTGTACGTGTGTGCCTGCGCGTGTGTTCTGTGCAATTCGATTGCATATTAAGATGCATGTAATTGCCACCACAATCAACATACAAAACTGTTGCATCCCGGGACTCCCTTGTGCTACTTCTTGATAGTCACGCCCACTCCTCCCCACCCTGATACCTGTCCCTTGGCAACAGCACACCTGTTCTTCAACTCTATAGCTTTATCATTTCAAGAATGTTACATAAATGGAATTGCACAGTACGTAACCTTTTAAGATTGGCTTTTTTTTCACTACACATAATGCCCTTCAGATCCATCCACTTGTGCATGTATCAATTGTTAGTTCCTTGTGTTGCTGTGTAATGGTCCACATATGCCTTTTAAGACCTAGTCTTGAAAGTCACATAGTTTTACTTCTATGATAATTAGAGACCTGTCCAGATTCAAGGGGATAAATCTGCCCCCTACCTTGATAAGAGTGGAGTCAATATCCCCTTATAAGAAGAGCATGAGGGGGCTTCCCTGGTGGCGCAGTGGTTAAGAATCCACCTGCCAAAGCAGGGGACACAGGTTCGAGCCCTGGTCCGGGAAAATCCCACATGCCATGGAGCAACTAAGCCCGTGCGCTACAACTACTGAGCCTGCGCTCTAGAGTCCGTGAGCCACAACTACTGAGCCCGCGTGCCACAACTACTGAAGCCTGTGCACCTAGAGCCGGTGCTCCACAACAAGAGAAGCCACTGCAATGAGAAGCCTGTGCACCGCAATGAAGAGCTGCCCCCACTCTCCGCAACTAGAGAAAGCCCGGGCGCAGCAACAAGACCCAACACAACCAAAAATAAATAAATAAATAAATTTATAAGGGGGGAAAAAAAAAGAAGAGCAAGAGGAACAGGAGGACTGTGTGTCCATCTGGGAAAATGTAACCTACCACAGATGGTAAGTGGCAAAGATGGGATTCAAACCCGGGTAGTTTGACTCCAGGTCCCATATTTTTAGGGTGACAACATGGCCATTCTTGCCGCAACAAAGGGAATGAAATCATTACAAACTTAATTGAAGAACAGGCTGATAAGCATATTTTAAATATGCAACATTCGTTATATTTAATTTAAAGAATTCGGAGACAATTAGGAAAGGCTTAGCAAAATTAGAATCCTATATGTTCGCTGAAAAAAGAAATGATGAT